TGAGTGTTCTGAATTTGGGGTTTTGTATGGGGTCATCTCTAACCCAAAGAGATCAGTTTATGTTGCTAGACAAGTTCTATAGATTTTTAAGCAGGATCCCTTTTTTATTGCTAAAACTTTCCCTATCACTTTTCTTCCATGTTTTTTAAATGAATAAAGGGGATGTGTTGGATTGTTCTGTCTTCTTTTTTTTTTTTTTTTTTGAAGAGGATTTCAGTAAAATAAAGAGGTGCTTGCAGTGCTGCAGGGAGGGACAAAAAGACCAAGTGATGTGGCGCACATGAAAATACGTAAAAAGGTGTTAGCTGCATTTCATTTACTTTTTGCTTTTGGATTGGAACAATATCTTTTCCAAAAGATTATGTCTGTAAAGCCTCCAAATCCTGTGGCAGAAAGGCTTGGAATGGAATGGTTTTGCTTGTGTTCAGCTTCATGTAATGACACTTGCCTTTCTCTCTGCTTGAGCTCTCTGCTTTGAACTTCAGGTTCCCTGTTAGAAATCGTAACATCCGTATATATATTTACATATTGGTGCTTAAATGACAAGCATATGCAGTGGTGGTTTTATTTGTAACTTAGGTGGTTGTCTTTTCAGTGTATCTTTAATTAGAAGTGCCTGCTATCTTTCAGACGCGCCCATCCCAGGACCTCGGCATCCAGAATGTGGTGCTACTTTCTTCTCAAGCCTTTGTTAATGCCAAATTATTTAAAGCAAAAACAATAAAAAGGGAGAATCTCTTTTTAGATCCAGCCTTTGTTGAACAGCGCTGCCAGAAATCCTGCATTTTGCCTGAGCTGGCTTTACGTAATGGCTTCTCGGTGGTATTACCGTGGTGCCGGGGAAGCAGATGTGATCAAGTGCAAGTGACGTTTGTGTTTAGTTCCCCTGTACATACCCAAAGACTTCAGAGCTGGATAACTTCTGAGCTGCAAGGTCCGTATCCGCGCCACCCGCCCCGGGTTAGAGATCTGCATGGAATTGTTTTCCGCTTAATCTCCTTAGAGGCAGGTGCTTCAGAGTAAGTTGTGACAGCGTTTCAGTCTCTTGCGCTTAAGGTGCAGAATGGATGTTCTGCAGTTGTTGGCATTTTCCCTGTGGAGAGGTGAGTTCGGAGAATTGCTTCGCTTGAATCCCCCCTAGGGCAGGTAAACCCTGTTGATACGTCTGTGTCGTAGGATGAGCCATAAAAACGTTGTGGTGTTTCTTAGCTTTCGTGGACGGAGAAGAAGTGAGAGTCTCACAAATAAACAAAGACCGTTCTGCCTCTGAGCTTGTCAGGCTTTTGAGCTGAATAAATAAGTGTTGTTTTGCATTAAGTAGAGCAGATGTTGCTGCATGAGGACACGCTTCTCTCAGTCGTGAGGAAGATGGACTTGAGTTTGTCTTGGTGAACTAAACGAGTTTCAGGTTGCGTGGCCTCATCCTGCCTCCCTAGGACGCCATCGTTACCCATGCTGAATTATTCATACACTACGTTTTCTAGGAATGCTGAGTTTGTAGGTGAAATCCATAAAAAGCAAAGAGAATGTGTTGCCGAAGGTGGTATCTGCCTTACGGTCTTTCTTGCTGGGGTGGCTGAATGTAGCAGCAGGAGCTGTATTTGGTAGGTGTTGCTATGAATTCTGAAAAATACTATGCCGTGTTGTGGTTGTTCGTGTCAGTACTATGTCTTCCAGAATACAAAGGCACTTCAAAGTGAGCGGCTTGAAGGGATGTTTCTTCGTTAAGACAAAATGCAAGTGTTCTGTGACCTCAAAACGGGGAAAACATCGTCCGTGGAGTAGAAGGGAAGTGCTCCCATGGGTAGTAAAACGAGGAACAATTCTACAATTGCTTCCTATTCCAAAAATGGCACCAAAAAAACCAGTGATAAAGGCTTGAAACGGCCAAGGAGTTTGACCTGCTTACGTTGAATTCTTGCTCTGGATTCTTTTCTAGAGGAGTCCCTCTCCTTTCTCTGATGGAGACTAGTCTTCGGGGCTAAAGTTTGCTGCTGTTCCATTTCTACACGTGTTCGTGCAAGCACGGGACCCCGAGAGACAGCAGTGTTAGTGCTGTAACCGAGCAGAAGTAGCCATAATCTCAGAGGTGAAAAGCACGCTCAGGATAACAAATGTATTTGTCTCTTCAGTAAGTTTTTAGGAATTGTTTTCCTTCGTCTTTTCCCTCCCCCAGGCAGAAGTGAATTCAGAAGATGGGATTACCGCGTGGTAAAGCTGACCCATTGTGCCGCCCGTCAGCATTTTCTTTGTCTCGTTTTCAGGGAAGGAACTCCCTCCTCTTTCCCACAAGCCTGTCCCTGTCCTTGCTCTTTTGATGGGTTTATACAGGATTTCCTGCTGAGTCAATGGAGGAGGGACGCAGGGAGATAGCAGCCTGGCCCCGATAGCCCTCCTTTACACCGGCAGCCTTTCCTCTGCTTCAGCCGGAGGGTGTTGCAGCTCGGCGGAGGCAGAAGTCAGCACTGCCTTTTGACCTATGTGAGTGGCGACTTTTTGCTGTGTAATTAGTAACTGTAATAAAAGCACATTTGCATCCCGTTGCACCAATACCTTCTCTGTGGAAAGACTTAGAGACGCAAGGTCCGAGTAGCGTGGGGGCGGGGGTGTGTCACCCCGACCATCAATTTAGGGAGCCGCAGACCTGATTTTTCTTTTTTCCTACAGATGCGTGGTCACGCAGGGAGCTCCGAGGGCTGCGGCCCCCAGGATCCCAGCCCGCTGCCGGAAGGGCTGCGTGGCCCCGGAGGCGCTGGGGACAGCTGGGGCTGTCCTTCCTCTGTAACCGCTAAGTACATTTCCCCCGTTTAGTCAAACCCCCAA